GGTTTTCTTTGTTGAATGGTCACTACTGTGTTCCTGAGTCATCATTTGCATGCATTGACTGCAATCAGATTAATGTTTGTATGAATCTCAGGAGGCCTTAAATAGCTTCTCCCCCATCTTTTGTTGTTCCAACTCACAATAAATTCATTCCCATAATTACTGATTTCTGTAGCATCAGTACAATGACTTTAATTTTCTGACTACTTGTTCTTGTCTCTATTTTGTACATTTACAAAGCATGGAAGGAGGCTGAATTTGTCTTGGATTATTGTTGAATATTTAGTAAGTGGTATATGTGGGTAACTGCTGATTGGTCATGCACTTTCCCTTTTGAGATGGATAATACCTCATCATCTCATTAGACAGAATCACACTTTTATTCAAAGATAATTCTGTTTAGGAAACAGTTTTTATTATCTGGATTTGTAGTCCCTTCTCTTGTTGATAAATTCTCCTTCACTATTAAGATATGTATCTGCTATTCCTTTAATCAGTCACCACTGAATTGCATTAGATGATAGATCTTTTGGGGATCTGGAGTAAGGGACTTCTTTTTTCTCTTTAACAACTGCAGGTGAGTCAGTTACCCAAAATTTCAAATTGATCTTTGCTTTTAAGAGCCGCCAAGTGCAGATTTATTTCAAATGCTCATACATCCACAGAATTATCTGGGAAAATTTGGTGAGGGAATTTTGTTTCCTTTTTAGTTTAAGTGCCAGCAGTTGCGCTCAGAAGCTGAAGCACTGTACAGAATGCTGCTCTTCTAACTTTTGTGTTGGGCCTGAGAAATACCTTGAACTGCTCAGAATAAGGAATGTAACGTAAGCACGGAGTAGTGATAGTGTCATTGACTATTCTGTTTTTGCAGCTGGGAACTAGGACATACTGGAGGGTGGGTTCAGCTGAGATTCAAGGAAGAGAAGAAATACTTAACCAGGCTGTGAGCCTCATGAGTGTGGGACCATGGCAAGGTGAACAATTCATAACAATAATGGCCTAAAATAATAATATTATGACATATACTGTACATGTAAAATATGTTATAAAATGATATAATTTCCCTGGCATCCTATTTTTCAGTTTATCTTTGATAGTGTGCTCAAGTTGGCTTTTAGAATCCACAAACCAAATTAAGACACAAGAATATTCTGAATTCAGTGGTAAACGACAGTCAGCCAATTTGACATAGAGAGTGTGTACAAAGGTTGTGTGAACATGAGAACATGGAGAGCCAGGGTATGTGTGTCCTATTTCACCTTTGTGGGTCCATTTTGGAAACAGCATTACAAAGTGAATGACAATGTAAAGTTCTGTAGCCAAGCCCAGCCAGTTTAAATTCCAGCTCTACCACTTACCACCCCAGAGTACTGGAGTAACTATACCTAAATTACAGCCTATGTTTTGTCTCTGAAATGAGCATGGGAATATTGCGTACATCGTGTGACTTTCAAGAGTATACAACATTAATGTACATAAAACATATCTTGCCTGGCCCCAGGTGCTTGCTAAGTGTTGGTTATTATTACAGTGTTAATAAAAGTTGGAAAACTTCTTAACCAGAAGATTACCTATACAGAATTCCCAGAATCATGTTCATTTCATTCCTTTGAAAGGCCCTAGACAGCTACCCAGGTCTTGAAGGCATTTAGTAATGTAATTCTTTTGGTATATATTATTGTTGTAGGGTAATTGTTAATGATTCCAGGAACCAATTTGAGAGGGGTGTGGCATAACTCCATGTGACTTATTTATGGAGTGCTGGTCAGCAAGGTCAGCTTGAGAGCTAACTGCTTTTTTTCTCCTACTCTGCTAGATTTTTGACCTCTTGATTGTTGCTTGCACCAAAGCTTCTGGGGCTCACTCTTCCTGTTCTTGAAAATGAAGGGGCTTTTAGTCTTCTGAGGCCAGTAGAGTGTGAGCCCAAAATATTTGACAGAGGGGGAAATTTTAGAGTGCCTGTTGTAGGAGAGCATTCAGCCTTTCCTCTCTGCTTTGCCATAAATATGGTTATGAGAAAGATCCATTACCAAATCTTGAATAGCTTGATTCAGTCTTCACCTCTATACCATCCTTGTAAGCATGCATGCAAGTAAAAAGCAAGATGCAAACCAGACTTTCTCATAAATGGAAGTCTTCTCGGGATACTGGTACTAAGTAAAACAAAATGTCTAGCAAAATTAACCTAGATCTGTTTCCTGAGCTAATTAGATATTTTCCCACAGGTAGAAACACCACTAATTCTAAATCCATTGGTTGCCCGTTTCCTCCTTATTTTTTGGTGATATTCAAGAAATTTTTGAATTAAATCATTTCTGAAGTTATGCATTATCAAATGTCAGAGTAAAATCATCCAACCACCTCCTTTCCATGTGTAGTTACAGTTTCCCGATGCCAAATTCTTCCTTTTAATTACAAACACTCCGAGAAGAACTAGTTTTTGCACCTCAGCATGAGAACAAGTAACTCATTTCTTCAGGCTTAGTTGAATGCAGGAGACTTCCTGAATCTGCCAGAATACAGCTGCCCAAGGTACAAGACAAACGTCCCCTGTTCTATTATTATATGTAGTGTTAAGATTCTTAGGGTAAATGTCTCTCTCCCAGTGGTCAGAACCTTCTGCTGAATATTTCTGAAGAAATTTTACCCTTGTGATAGGTAACGTGGAAAACTTACTTCTTTTTTTTTCTGCAAGGGTAAAATTTAAAACATAAAGAGTTTTAAATATGTGTTGTTATTTTTAAATTACTAGGTTAATTTGGCCATATATGTCATATATGTGTGTTCATTTGAGAGGATTGTACTTCATCATAAGTAAGTGGCTGTAATGTCTCTCTGGACTGAACTTTCTTCCTGTTGCTTTGCCCTTCATCCAAGTAACTATACTGGGAAAGTAAAGGATATGACTGTTATGTCCCTGGGAAAATCAGAGCTTTTGTATTGATACCGGCAGTCAGAGTTACACCTTGACTCATTTCTTCACTGCCCTGATGGTAATGTGCTGAATCTACTAAATTATCATGTGAATTCAGAGTTAGTTAGCAAAGGACCAAATCATGCTGTTTGTTTTAGAAGCAAAACTTATCTTTTTTTCTGGGATCTGTGACACATCTCCCTCCCTCCCTTGAGAGTTTCACGCCTTGCCGGCTTCTAAAATTGGTTCCTGCCAGGCATGGTGACACACACCTGTAATCCCAGCACCCCAGAAGCTGAAGCAGGAGGATAGCTGCATGTTCAAGGCCAGCTTGAGCTACGTAGTGAGTTGAGACCAGCCTGGAATACCTAGTAAGACCCTGTTTCAAAAAAACAAAAACAAAACAATAAAATAAAATAAGTTCCTGTCAAGGGTGGTATGAAAACAAAACAAAGTAATTCCCTTTTCATTGTTCTCATATTTTTAAAGTTCATATAATTGGGTTTTAATTTCTTGAACAAAACTTCTTCAGCTAACGCAGCCTTACAAAATAATGTTGTTCCATGCTTCTACCTTTTCAAAATGGAAATATTCTTTATTTACTTTTAGTCTGACAGCATAACAAAAAAGATATCAGAACTCAGAGTTCTTTGATTTTCCTATATTCTTCATATTCAGTCCACCAGATAAAAGCAGTAGCTCTTACTTTAGCTAAATGTTGTGCTGAATACTGCTTCTGAATAGCATATTGCGGACCAGGCACTAGGTTAAGTAATTGACATTACTTGATTCAATCAGCACAACAAATAGATATTAGTATCTACCCTTTAAGTGAGGAAATTAAGACTTTGAGAGGTTAATTTTACATAGAAAATGAAGAGCCAAAATCTGATCATGGGCCCCTCTTAGGAGGCTAGCCTCTAAATCACATATATAAAAGAATGTGGTATAAAGTGAAGCAGTGTATGGGCTTCACCATTAACAATTAGCTACAATAACATAAGTTTTCCTTCATTCTGAGCAACTGCAGTGTCCACGTGTGAGCATATATGGCAGGCAGTAATTTTTTCCTCTTCTTCCTCAAATATTCTGACCCACCCTAGCAAAAATGCTTCTTCTAAAACAAAAGTGGTGGATGAGAAACAAACAAACAAACAAACAAATGTCAAGACTACGTGGTAAATGCCATAATCCTTAATAAACTGAAAGATTGTCACATCTTAAAATTCAAGTGGAAACAATAAATGTCCTGATGAGAGTTACACTCATGTGATGAATCAGATACCTTCTAGTACACACATATTCTTTGAAACAGAACATAAGTCTGTACGTATGTATGTTCTTGGATTCATTTTCTGTATGTTTGTGATCAGCATCACAGTTCTCCAGTGTGCGTACCTCTGGTGCCATAGTGGCCTTATGCCCTTTAATGCTAAGGGCCATAAGAACTCACTGTCCAATAATGTAGTATAACAACTCCATATTACAAAGTAAGAATATTTCCCTAGCTGTCTGTGCCATAGAGCGGTCAACTTTGGGTTCTGTACCATGCATGGTCTATTCCTTAAAGAGCACTGAATATGAGGGACTTGATTTGAGATTTTTCCATATCCCACATATATATGTGTATGCGAAGATTAAACATTGCTAAGTTTTTTGCAAGTCGATTGCCTAGCTATATGATTGGGCAAGGAATGTTCCAGAGGCCTTCTGTCCTGACTTTAGCTTACTGTAAACTTACCAAAATGATGCAAGCTTTCACACAGAGGACCATGACACCATAAAGGACAGCCATTTTGTTAAGGAAAACGGAAACCCTCACCCTTCAAAAACTAAGTTACACTGACTTCAACCCTATTATTTCTTCAGTTCAAGGTTACATTTTCTGCCCCCCACAGACTAATGTCACTTCTCCACATTGAGAACAAGAGCGGCATTTGGCATTTGGTTATCCCAAACCCAAATTTCTGACCCTTTGTTTTTAGTACTTTGCCATTTTGATTTTGCTTTTTTAATTTGCTTGTGACTCTCTGCTTCCCCCATCTTTTTTTTTTTTTGGTACAATGATTCTTACCTTGTCTTTCCCCAGTCCGTTTCTGACCTGGAGAGACGTACAGCATGTTATTGTCAGGACTTCCCGTGCGGGACATTTGAACGCTAATGACTGGAAAACCAATGCTGCTGGTTTTAAGGGTGAGAACTTCTTTCATATTCTGTCACAGGCAAAATATTTTTATTTTTCTCCCATTTTAAATGGAGAGCAAGAAATAGAACCCCTCAAACAACTTAAAATTTTGTGCTCACAGATGAAGAGCTTGATCTTTTAGAAAATAAAAGGCAATTGATATTTTTTAAACTAAAACCAGTACACATATAAGGCAAATTTCCTTGGCTTCCCAGACCATAGGTCAAGTTTTTAAAAGATCAGCCAACTCCCAAGTATAGTCGGCCTCTGGGACTAATAGTTTACTCTTTGCTGTTGTTGATTATCTTAAGTGGTATCTATAAAAATGTATTTTAAACTTCCTCACCTTCTTTAGTGATTACTTTGCTTTAAAAGTAACTGATATATACCATTGACTTTATTGTAGCACTGTTAGGCCATGCATTCTATAAGTGAACTTCCAAGAGATACTACTTTATATAAACTACAAGTACTTATCAAGCTTTATAATGTGCACTTCTTATACAGTTGTGCGCAGCATAGGACAAATGCAGAATATTTTTCTCAAGGCTGATGCAGATTATATTTCCTTCCATTGGTCTAATATTTAACAGTAGCCATTATATTTATTGGCATAGATAATATATGCTGTAATAAAAAGAAAACAATTATAAGAAGCAGAGGTGTGGAAGATTATTATATTTACACAAGTTGCAGATGACCTAAATTTTAATCTGTAAAATTAAAACAAGGATTACTTTTTATCATATCTACAGACTTAAACTTACTCCCAAATAATTTTAGTGTCATAATTTTATACTATCATATAATTTAGTATATTAATCATTTATATATGTATATGTATATATATTTATAGTCCCCTATAGATGAAAAACCATGTTCCATAGCACAAGGAATATCTCCTTATAACTTGTGAGTCTAGTTATTTAAATTCTAAGGACCCTAACTGTCCAATTTTAAATATTTTGGAAGCTGAATATTATCTATGTTTGCTGTCTTACATATGATCTTAATGTATGATGGAATGTATATTTTAAAATTTTTGCAAATAATTTATTATAGACCCATCCTTGGCCAGAACCAGTAAATATCTGAGACAACCAGTGTTATATAAATAGTTCTTTGATTAGCATCTTCATTGAAGCCTTGATTTGTAGAAAAAGAACAATATTCCTCTACTTTTGACTCGTATCAAACACTTTTTCCATGCCTGTAATCTGTATAAACAGCAGTGCTCAGTAAATTCTAACCTAAAGAGTTGCGAATACCTGTTGAGATCCCATTCTCTCAAACCCAAATCAAGATACTCAGTCTCCAAATTGCAACTGTATGAGCAGCATCAAAATTATTTGAAGTTTCAGTTGTTCTAGGAAATCCAGAATGTAATTTTCCATACATATGTTTCATTTTGATTACCTTCCACATGCTTCCATCTCCTTTATATAAATCCATGAGGTTGTGAAGGGAATAGGGGACCAACGTGTAACCTTGGCTGCTTCAAGGTTAACATGAACTTCTTAGCAGAAAGTTCACAGACTAAGTACATTGACCTCCATGGAGCTGAGAAATCAACTTTAGCCCTAATAAATGTCATAGTTTTACTTACTCCTTTTTGGCAACCTAAAAAGAGCAAATGGTTCTAATAAAACACGCAGCTCTTTTGAAAACCTCTATAGGTTTTGGAGAGGGGGAAACAGGGATTTTAGACAAAATCACCAAATCCAAACCTGAATGTGAAGGAGGCTGTACACTGCTTCTGGCAAGGAGGAAATAGTATCTTACTATTGCACGTGGCAATATTTAGTATAACATTCCACTTTTCTCTCAGATAGCTGCCAAGCGTAACAATTAAAGTTCACTTTTTCATAGATGAATTACCCTGAACAGTATGGGCTCCCAGTGGAACTGTTTTGTAATTTTGTTGATGGCAAGCCCTGTATTTCATCTAAACATGATCATAATGAGATGATTTTTTTTTAAAGTTATTTTCTTCCGTACTCTAAACATTACTATCCCCTCCCATGAGTCCCACAAATAAAAGTGATTAGGGTGGAGGCTTGCAAAAGAAGCCACGTGCTTTGGGGAAGCAGAGAATGCAGGTCACCATGAAATATTAACTGGAAGAATAAAAAGAGCTAATGTTTGGAAGAGGTTCATGCAACCGGAGCTCAGGAAGAGCTCTTCCTTCATACTAAATCAGCCGACTTTTGCAGTCCTTGCTTAGCAGGAATCCATGGCCACACAGTTCTCCATAGACTAGAGGAAACAGTCATTGCCTACAAGCCAAAACCTGTTGCCACAGGACCTCACCCTGCCCACTCAACTCCATCTTCATACCTCGGAGATGTGTAGGCTTGACCCACACTCAGCCATGTGTGTTGTGGGTCTGGAGTGTGGAAGGGGTTCCCTCTTGGAGCAGCTGCGGGCTTCCCATGCACAGGTTCTTAGGAGAGGAGGATGGCCGTGGAAAACCGAGGAGGCCTCTCTGTCAATTCATTTCTGTTGCTCTGAGTTACATCTTGATGGGTGAGGTGCGGAGAACTTTCTTCCTCATTCCCTGTGCTTTCAGAGCGATGCTCTATCAGTGATGCCATAGTGAAAATAGTGTGCAGGGAAGAAGCCTCAAAGACGCAAGCCACAGTCAGCATGCTCAACCTACTGGTGTTCTGATTTTTAACAATTTTAATTGATTATTCTGTCTTGCTGCTGCTTCAGCATTAATAATCTCTCGTAACATAGTTAAATGTCTTTTCAGCACAGCAGATTAGTTTTTCAGAATAAGCACAATCTAATATATACCAGCATATACCTATGAAAACTAATCGATTTTCCCTGCTCATCTTGTGAGTAACTCTAGCTAAATTTCAGGCAGTACCTTTTGACTGTACACTTCCTCAAGAGGTAGTTTCTTAAAAAGTAAATGGAATAAATGCTGTGCACCTATGAAAGAATCTACTTGAAATTGTGCATGAGAATAGGAAATCATCAGTCATAAGCTAGATGAACAGATGTGGCATTCTGAAATCCAAGTTCCAGGATTTTGCTACTGACCAACATTTGCAATGCCAGGGGAAGACTTTGGCATTAAGCTGATTGGGACTTTTGTCAGGATTATTTCTTTTCTCCCTTGATCTCTTCCCTTTCCTTTTATAAAAAGCTTTTTCTGGTTTTTTTTGTTTGTTTGTTTTGCTTTGCTTTTTTTTTTTTTAATCTTCTCTCCTGCTCCTTAAGATGTACCATTAAGATACAGACTTTTGCCACTGAAGTGGTTTTTTTCATTGAATTGAATTGAATTCATTTATTTAATGCTGTCTTTTGTTTATTGATTCATAAACATCTCCTGAGCACCTTCAACAAGCAAGCCCAACCCATTTTGAAATACCTGACGAAAGCCAGGAATAAATGTCAGGGGCTCCATGGTGTTGCTAGTCTGATCCGCCATGGCATAATTTACATACAGTACAGAACCAGATTTACATATAGGCTAGTTTATTCTTCACTCTGTGCTCCAACTATTTTCCAGGTCATGTTAGATAACAGTGTGGATGATCCTTTTCTTACTGTCTAAAACTCACGGGTCTCTGGCAGCAGAAGGCATCTAAAACAGAATACTTACCGCAGTTGCAGGTGGATATTGTTCAGCTCTGTTTAGGCATACAGAATCTGTGAATTAAACAGCCATGCCAAAAGCTTTCATTCAGGTGTTTTTTATAGTCTGTGGCTTGTATCATTTCAGGAAAAAGTTAGCTCTTTCTTAGGATCATCTTCCCTCTCCTGCTTTAATCTGAGGAACCTGCAAATCCCCCATCCCTCTCTCCCTCAAGCACCTGGGCTGTGCAGCCTGGTTCTTTCCCCTGAATTCTAATTCTGGTTTGAGTTTTGGTTATAATTGAATGCATGGAAATCAGTGCTTTAGTTTTTTATCAAAGTATTGTATTTGGATTATGCGACGATATACAGTTAAACTCTCTTAAATCTAGGAACAGGAATAGACGTCAGATAATAAATTAGGACCTTCTGTCATCTTTACTAGGCGAAAGAATGAAAAAAATGTCATTGAAAATCAAAAAATGACAACTAAGTGAGCGAGGTTACCACGTCTTCCATTTCACTGCTCTCCCAGACTGTAAGTCTCCTTGTTCTACCAGCATGTTGCTGAAACTTCCTCAAGCCACTCACTCTTTCTTTGACCACCACTAAACTACTAGATGTTTTAGAAATCTCTAACTGATTACCCGCCATGGGGAAAACACTTGACAGTCTAACATGGCTTCTTAGCCTCTGAGGCCTTAACTTTTAATAACCTTTAATACCTTTAATTGCCGTCATTTTATTTCCACTGGTAGGGCTGGTAATTTTAAGATGTTCCAATATATTTTTAAGACCTACCTGTCTTGCTTTCAGTTTGTAACACTTATTAAACAGAATTACAAGTGCTGAAGCCTTTAAGCATGCTGTGTATTGAATTGAAACAAAAGAGTTTGAATTTTTTTTTAGTGTATAAAGTTATTTCTAATGTCTTCCTGTTTGAAAGGGTAAAGTTTCATTTTATTTTATTATTTCACTGTTCAAATAATATTCCAACTTTGTGGATGAGTGTGTGGGTTCTCTTTTGGTAGTTGTGAAAGGCACATAATGTACCTACATCATGTTTTTGATGAAAGGTCAAAATAAAATGTTACTCACGTGGTCAGTGTCAGAGGTGGGACTAGAATCACATGTTTCATTCTAGTCTGAACTCATTTGCTAAAGAGAAAATTCAGTTATTACTTAGAGTGACAAAGGAAAGCAAATACATTTGATTTTACGTAATAAAATTTGCTCTTTGAAGATGCCACCTAATTTTTTTAAGATTCTATTTTCTGTGCTCTGGGAATTCATATTCATTTCATACTTATTGACTTAGGTCTTTCATGTTCATAGTTATTGATCCTTGCACATGTGAACTTACCTTCTAGTTCATCTACAAAATGTTTTGGCTCACATAGTTCAGGGATTTTACCATTTT